AATTTTGAAGGGACATTATTCAGTCTATAACAGTAGAGCACTTGTTTGTTTCTTCTTCTCCTCCCCCCCCCCCCCCTTTTTGGTACTGGGGATTGAACAGATGCATATAGTTACATAACCAATTTTTGAAAAGACCTAAGGAGAACAGGTTCTTGCTAAGTTGCTCAGGGCATTGATAAATTACTGAGACTGGTTTTGAACTTGCCATCTTCCTGCTTTAGGCTCCTGAGCTGCTGGGAGTATAGGTGTATGCCACCATACCTGGCAAGCACTGGGTTTATACAAGAGACCTAGGTTCATATACTAACTCTGTCTTGAATTAAGTGTGTAACCATGGCCAAATCACTTAACCTCTGAGCTTCCTGATTCTATACCTATAAAAGGTAAGGATAATAATTTTTACCTTATTGGTTTGTTAAGAGATCCAAGTAAAACAGAAGTTATGACATCACATTATGAACCAATGATTCTCAGGCGTGTGCCACCGCACGCCTGTAATCCCATCGGCTCAGGAGGCTGAGACAGGAGGGTCACAAGTTCAAAGCCAGCTTCAGCAAAGCTGAGGTACTAAGCAACTCAGTGAGACCCTGTCTCTAAATAAAATACAAAATAGGGCTGGGGATGTGGCTCAGTGGTTCTCCTGAGTTCCATTCCCAGTACTGGGGGAAAAAAAATGAACCAGTGATTCTCAACCCAGACCGCTATCAAAATCATTTTTAAAAAGAAAATTGTTTTAGGGGCTGAGGGTGTAGCTCAGTGGTAGAGTATGTGACTATCATGTGTAAGGCTCTGGGTTTGATTTTTAGCACGCCCCCCCCCCCCCCCGCCAAGTTCCTACAATTTTCAGTATAACAAATAAGGAACTCTGTTCTGACCCTCCCCCAGTAAGTAAAACTGAGGAAAATTATAGTATAAAGCCTCTGGAAATGGTTCTGGAACATTCAGAAGTGAAAAATGAGGGGAAAAAGCAAAAATGGGCAGAAATGAAGGGATAAATGATTCAATAATAAGTCTGAGGAGATGTTAATACCCTACTAGGTAGAATCATAACAACTAAAGTCATTAAGGAAACAACACCATAAATGAAAGATAGTAGTTTATTATCTGTGCATGGTACATTCTAATGCTGTCAGTGGAAGTTTTAAACTACATATATACTAAACCCTGAATACAAGCTGCAACAGTTGTATGACAGCTGAGATAGCATCTAAGTGAATAATGGTTAGATAGCATACATAGCATTGATAAACTGGATGAACATAAGGGGTTATTTACCTTCCTGGCAAGACAGTAGAATGGTGTGCAGTTTAAAACATAAATTGTTTATTTCTAGAATTTTTCTGTTTAATAATTTTGGACCATGATTGGTCACAGGTTAACTGAATACTCAGAAAGCAAAACTGCTGCAGATAAGGGGTGGACTATACAAATCAGATATGAAGAAGGACACATTATATGTGACCTTATAAAAATTAGAATTATGAAGAAATTGAACCGTTTTATCCCAATAAATTAAATGGCTGCGACATTTTTTTTTTTCAAAAGAAATACTATCAAAACTGTTTCAGTAAGGAATAGACTACCTTATGAAGGCATCACAAAACTACCTACAAAGAAAAGCCTAGGCCTATCTGATTTCACTGCTGGATTCTACTAAACATTTAAAGAAGAATTATCACTAAATCTTCACAAACTCTTCCAAAAAGCAGAACAGGAAGGAACACCTCCCAACTCATTTTTTTAAATATATATTTTAAGGTGTAGATGGAGACAACATAATGCCTTTATTTTTATGTGGTGCTGGGATCGAACCAGGGTCCCGTCTGTGCTAGGCGAGCGCTCTACTGCTGAGCCACAATTCCAGCCCCCTCCAAACTCATTTTATGAAGCTTGTATTACTTTGATACTATAACCAGAGAAAGGCATTTCAAGAAAACTACAGACCAATATTACAAATATGAACATAAAAGTCCTTGTCAGAATACTAGCAAACTGAATTCAACAGCATATAAAAAGGTTTATACATCATGACTAAGTGGAATTTATCCTAGAAATATGATTGATTTTAAATAAAAATCAATTAATGTAATGTATTAGTAAAATTTAAAAAATTCTGTCATCTCAATAGACGCTGGAAAAAACATTTGATAAAATCCATCACCTTTTTCTGATAAAAACAGTCAACTAGAAATAAAAGGGAACTTCTCAACATGACTAAAGTCCATCATTCCTATTGATGAAATACTGGTTGCTTTGCTTTTGCTTAATCTGGTATAAGACAAAGATATCTGTTCTCTCCACATCTATTCGATTTTGTACTGAGGTTTCTAGCCAGAGAAATTTAAGAAAAAGGAAGAAACAATATCAAGGTCAGAAAGGAAGAAGTAAAGTTCTCTTACACATGACATGATCTTGTATATCCACTAAAAAGTTAGCACTCATATGGCAAAATTGTAGTCTATAAGACTAATATGTGAAAATCAGTTGTGATCTATAGGCTTGCGATGTACAGTCTGAAAATGTAAAATTCCATTTATGATGGCATAAAAATAAAATATTAGGAATGAATTTAACAAAAGAAGTCTAAACTTGTAGAAAGAAATTAAAGATGATCAAAATAGAAAAGTATTCTATCTTAATGAGTTGGAATTTAACATGCCTAAAGTGCCAATATTCCCCAAATTGACAGATTCAGTGCAGTTCTATCAGAATCCCAGTTGGCTTCTTTATAGAAATGGAGAAACTGATTTCTCAAATTCATGTGGAATTTAGGAATTCATAATAGCTGAAAAATCTTGAAAAAGAATTTCAGTAGGAAGAATCACTCGATTTCAAAATTTAGTATCAGACAGTAGTAATCAAGACTGTGGAATTGACAGGATAACACTGTGTGTGTGTGTGTGTGTGTGTGTGTGTGTGTGTGTGTGTGTGTGTGGTGCTGGGGATTGAACCCAGGGCTTTGTGCATGTGAGGCAAGCACTCTACCAACTGAGCTACATCCCCAGCCCAGGATAACACATATTAACTTATAGGTCAGTGGCATAGAATTGAGTGTTAAGAAATTAAACCATGAAAAAAAAAATATATATATATATATAATTATGGTCAACTGGTTATCAACAAGAGTGTTATTATAGTCTCTTTGAGCAGTTTTAACAAAATACCAGAGACCAGGTGACTCATAAGCAACAGAAATTTATTTCTTACAGTCTGGAGGCCAAGAAGTCCAAAATCAAGATGCTGGGAGATTCTGTATTTAGTGAGAGCGTGCTTCCTGATTCATAGATGGATGATATTTTCACATGGCAGAAGAGTCAAGCAAACACCCTGGTATCTCTTTTACAAGGGCAATAATCCCTTTCAAGAGGGTTCTATCATCATGACCAAATCATACTGGCCCCACCTTCCAACACCATTACAACAGGAGTTAGGATTTCACATACAATTGAATTTTTTAGGTATACAGATGTTCATTCTATAGCAGTTGCCAAGACCATTCAATGAAGAAAGAACAGTTTCACCAAATACTGTTGGGAAACTGCGTATCTGCTTAAAAAAGAAGTTTGACTCTCACCGTGTAGAAATCTAACTCGAAATGGATTACAGACTTATATGTAAAAAATAACGTATAAAACTCTTAGAAGGCAACATAAGTAAGGTCCAGGATTCTTTTTTTTTTTTTTTAAAGAGAGAGAGAATTTTAATATTTTTTAGTTTTCGGCGGACACAACATCTTTGTTTGTATGTGGTGCTGAGGATCAAACCCGTGCCGCGTGCATGCCAGGCGAGTGTGGTACCGCTTGAGCCACATCCCCAGCCCCTAGGATTCTTAATATTATGACACTAAAAGCATGGACAAGAAAAGAAAAAGATTAATTTGGACTTCAAAATTAAAAACTTTTGTGCTTGGAATGATACCATTAGGAAAGTGGAAAGATAACCTATATAATAAAAGAACATTTACAAATTATAGTTGATAAGACAGTTATCTGAAATGGATAAAGAATTCTTACAACTCAAAAGTAAAAATAAACCAATTAAAAAAGGGACAAAAGAATTTGAATAAATTTTATTTGGAGATATTACAGTTAGCAAATAATTAGTTTGAAAAGATGCTGTATTTCATTAAGTCTTCAGGGTATTGCATACCAACACCACAATGAAATATTGCTTCATATGCACTAGAATGGTTAGGTTAAAAATCTCAATAGCAAAGTGTTAACGAGGACGTAGGGAAATTGCAACCCTCATGCTGTTGATGGGAATTTAAAATGGTAAAGCCACTTTGGAGAAACAGTTGGATAGTTCCTCAGTTGATAAACATATTACATACCTCAGCATTTCCATTCTTATATATATAGCATGAGAAATAAAAGTTTGCATATGGGAAAACTCATCTACAAGCATTTATAGAAACATTGTTCATAATAGCCAAAAGGCAGAAATAGCTCAGATGTCCCTCAGTTGATCAATGATTAAATGTAATTGGATATGTACATAGAATGCAGTATTTTTGAGCCATAGAAAGGTCTGAAGTACTGATACATGCTACAATGTAAATGAGAATAGTTTTGCCAGATATTGTTGGGAAACTGCATAGTCACTTAAAAAAAGAAGTTTGACTCTTACCTCTCATCAGTTAATTGAAGGAAGCCAGTCATAAAATATTGCATATTATATGATTGTGATCACATGATTTGTCCAAAATAGGAATGTTAGTTAAATGATACAGTGTTCTTTTTAAGGTGATGAAAGTACTCTGAAATTCACTCCAGCGATGGTTGCACACAGCTGTGAATACAGTAACCCCCCCCCCCCCAAAAAAAAGCAAAAAAATGATGCATTATGTATTTTAATAAAACTTTTTAAAATAATCAAATCATTTTTGGTGACTCTTTGGGGTGAGTTTAGGCATGTATATGTTTAAGACTGAGCTTGTGGAATAGCAAAGCTTATGATAGTTAACAGTAAGCTCAGCTGTTCTCTCTCCACACTTGTAGAAATCATGACCACCCCAGGAAAAGAGAACTTTCGCCTGAAAAGTTACAAGAACAAATCTCTGAATCCTGATGAGATGCGCAGGAGGAGGGAGGAAGAAGGACTACAGTTACGCAAGCAGAAAAGAGAAGAGCAGGTAAGTTCTTGTTTATTTCTTATAAAGAACTTAATGCTCCATATTAAGAAGGAAATCTCACTCCCATTTTTATTTTAACGTTTAATAAAAGTTTCCCTTCCCCTTCTATAAAATCAACATATTTTGAGGATAGGGAAGAGAAGGTACTGAAAAATGGATAAAAAAAATGGGTCAATCTCTCAGTTTCCTATTTTCTCAGTATAACTACTATTTAATATTTTGGCCTATATTTTGTTTTTCATAAATTGATGCTTCCTTCTTAAGATTTTGTACATGTTGATTCTCAGATGACCAAAAAACATTGCTTCTTGTTATAAACTTTAATTTGAAAATTTATAAACATAATACAAAAATAAAGAGATAATGAAGCTTATAAACCCATACCTGCTGCTTCTTTTTTTCTTTTTTTTTGGGTGATGCTGTGATTGAACTCAGGGCCTTGTGCATGCCAGGCAAGCACTCTACCAGTAGAGCTATATCCCCCCAAAATGTGGCATTTATACACTAAAAAATAACAAGATCATGGAATTTACAGGGAAATGGATGGCATTGGAGCAGATTATGCTAAGTGAAGTTAGCCAATCCCTAAAAAACAAATGCCGAATGTCTTCTCTGATATAAGGAGGTTGACTCAAAATGGGATAGGGAGGAAGAGCATGAGAAGAAGATTACCACTAAATAGGGAAGAGAGGTGGGAGGGAAAAGGCGGAAGAAGGGGAATTGCACGGAAGATGGAAGGAGACCCTCATCGTTATACAGAATACATGTATGATGTTGTAAGGAAAAAAAAATCTAATGTGTCCCATTAGATTGGGTAGAGAGAAGTGATGGGAGGGGAGGGGAGGGGAAGGGGGAATAGGAAGGGCAGCAGAATAAAATAGACATTATTATTGCTGTATGTATATAAGTGACTGTGTGACCAATGTGATTCTACAACCTGTACAATCAGAAAAATGAGAAATTATACCCCATTTGATTCAAATGTATGAATTGTCAAGATCATTGTATTGTCATGTGTAGCTAATTAAAAAAAATATATAGAGCTATATCCCTAGCCCCACCATACCTGCTTCCTATTTGTTTACTTTTACATTCCTTTAGTTTTAAAGTAAAATTTCAGGGAATGTATCTTTTTATTCCTGAATGATTTCTGTATTATTCATAAGAACATTTATGACATTGGGTTTTTAAATTTTTTTCCTTTTTTAAAATCATTTTTAACCTGAGAACATCTTATAAGAGCATTGGGACTTAGCCTCACTGTATCTCCCTTTAAAAGTGCTTAGGACTAGGCTGGGGTTGTGGCTCAAGTGATGGAGTGCTCGCCTAGCATGTATAAGCACTGGGTTCGATCCTCAGCACCACATAAAAATAAAAAATAAAGGTATTGTGTTCACCTACAAAACACACCACACACACATAAATGCTTAGGACAAATGGTTCATCACTTTCTTTTTCTTTTAATATTTATTTTTTGTTGGACACAATATCTTTATTTTATTTATTTTTATGTGGTGCTGAGGATCAAATCCAGGGCCTCACGTTTGCTAGGCGAGCGCTCTACAGCTGAGCCATAACCCCGGCCCAGTCTATCACTTTCAACAGACATTTAAAGGCCTAAAGCTTAGGTGACTGTTTTTTTTCTTTTGCTAAGAATAGACTTTCTAGTCTTGAAGGACCTTTTGACCCCCACATTATAAAAACTTTATAAAGGTGAAGGCATATAAATGAGTGAGAACCCTTCATACCTGAAAAATAAGATAATCTGTCATAAATATTTTGCAATTACAGTGAAATACTTATGTGGTGCTGAGGATGGAATCCAGGGCCTCGCACATGCAAGGCAGGTGTTCTGCTGCTGAGCTGCCATCTCAGCCCCAACACATACTCTTGAGAAGCACAGCTCTAGATAATTTAGGTGAAATCGAAGAGTACATTACAGTCTCAGTGTTTTCTTTGTTAGGGTTGTAGATGTTTGAATCAAGCACTTTATTATTAGCATTATCATCATTATTGATAAGGGTACTTTGTAATATTATGAAAGACTTTATATTGAGTATAGTGAATAAAGTTATAAATTCTTTCTATCTTATCATCGTTCACAGTAACTATTTATTCATAAAAGGGTTTCTTTTGGATTCTTATTGCCTCTCTCCGTCTGTGGATTTATTATCCTTTTGTTTGGATTAATTTATTAGATTCTGTTTTTGTGGTAAAGTTCCTTTTCTTTGAAATCAAAAAACATTGTTATATACTTATATTCACCTATATAAATGTGAATGTATGCATATATGCAGGTGAACACAGGTACTGATCTGAATATAATCTCACACGTAGGGATTGTCTTTAGTATAAAGCCATTTTAAGTTGTGGTAGTGGTACTCTATCATTAACATAGTGTTTTATTTTGTTTCTTCTTGGCAATTGCTAGTTCATACAATTAAACGCTTATAAAATTTACATTAAAAATAAAATTTTCATATTAATTGCCTGAAGGTAGATGCTCAAAGTACTTAGTATATCAGCAAGTATGACCTTCATACATCTGACTAAAACAATTTTTTATTGGAAGTTTACCATATTTATTGTATGAGATCAGAAATTGCATTAGGGCTTTTATTAGTTTCTGGAGACTGCTCTATAAAATTTTAATTTTGTCATTTCACATATACTAACTTGTATGGCCAGAACTAGTAAGAGTAAACAGGCTTCCCAATACCAAAACAGTACTTACTTCACGCCTAATTTCTAAAATAGTAAACATCAGGAAAACACAAATTCATTCAGGGACTGTTTATCTTTGCACAGTTGCTTTGTCATCTATCTGAAAAAGTAACTGGCTTACACCAACTGAGCAGTTAGATTTGAGAGTAATATAGGAGTGGATGCTGCCAAATATACAAAAGATATCTAGCTTTTAGGGCTATCCCTTCAGTATATAAGAACTTAATATTTGTTATCCAGCAGCACTATATAAATGATCTTTGTGCAATTGGCAATGACAGACCAAATTAAAGTTTATTTTTGGTAGAGCATTTTACTATTTATTAATGCCTTTCTAATTGAGCTCTTACTTTCTCTTTTTCTACAGTGCTAGGGATTGAACCACTGAACTGTTATTTCCAGCCCCTTTTCATTTTATTTTTTTTTAAGATTTTATAGTTGTAGATGGACAGCATGCTTTTACTTGTTTAGCTTTTTATGTGGTGTTAAGGATTGAACCCAATGCCTCACGTATGCTAGGCAAGCGCTCTGCCACTGAGCTATAGCCTCAACCCCTCCTTTTTATTTTTTATTTTAAAATAGTGTCTTGCTAAGTTGCCCAGGCTGGTCTAAACTTGGCATTCCTCCTACCTCATTCAGCCTCCTGAGTAGCTGGGATTACAGCTACCATGCCCTGGTGGTAACTTGTAATTCTTCACATACAGAAAGAACACTTTGTGTTTACTAGTAAAAGTTTTTGACACTTGCTGGCTCAGTGTCAGTGGGTAACACAAGTGTTGTTAAAAAGTTCATAAAAAAACAATGATGAAGAATGGAGACTTTCTTGTTATTAAGAGTTACAAGAAATATCTTCTGGAATAACCAAGATGATAAACTCTGGATAGCTAGTATTTCCCATTAATTATTTGACAGACTAGGCAACCTGTAGTCTGTAAATAAGTGTATGCAAATCATGATTTTTTTTTCCAAAAAAAACATTTTTACTTGGAATACTTTGTGTACCAAGTTGAAAAAGCCCAGTAATGCTAAAATACTTGAAAATACTTGAAATAATTTTTCTGCTTGCTTTCTCAAATAAGCCACTTTCAGCTCTCTTCAATGTTCAGTGTGGCTTCGACTGTTACATTTCTAAATAATATGTGTATATTACTGTGTAACTTTTTCAATTTGAAGTATTATCTATTGATGTTCTTTTGTGATAGTTGAAGATTTAAATTCTTATATAACTTTCCATTTTTCCATTCTCCTAGTACAGTAATATTTCATTATGTATGTGTTATCCACGCTAAGTAGTACACTGTGGTTACATTTTCTTTTTTGTACTTTCTTTTTCTTGGAATATCCTCCCCCCACTCCTTTATTAAACTAGTTTGGCTTTCTTCAGATTTTTGGACTAAATTTTTTTCAGTTCTGAGTCTTTCCACAGCTTTGTGTGGTTTATGGACTTGTTTCTCAACAGTAATCCCTCCACAGAATTTTTAGGTTTGATCTTCCATTATAGTGACTCATGGCTTTTCTAAGCCTGCCTTTTATTGTCATAGATATGGTTAGGGGTTACACATTTCTTCTGATTTCAGTAAATTAGAATAATTTATGGTTTTTGTCTTTCTTATGATTACAGGGTGGTGTTTCTGAGGGTAGGCGGATAGAAAGGACTGTTATTTTTAATTTGTATAACTCATCCTGAAAGGCAGATTGTTTTATTTTTGTTACTAGTGGTGTGAAAATTATATTGATTTAGAAAAGAAAAGTTGTATGATCTATTTTAATTCTTCTGTTGTAAATAATAGAGCTGTATGATCTATTTAATTGTATGTGAATAATACATTGTTGTGAATAATAGAGTATACAGTTCTAGAATAGTGCACTGGATTAATTTTAGTAATTTTGAAGTATGGATGATAATAGTTAACTATAGAGTATTGTATGTATGTCAGGTAAACACTTTATGAATTAATTCTGTCAGCTAAACTTCAAGGTGAGTTATTTTTTTATGAAATTTTATGTGTAGATTGAGATTGTGAGCCACAAATGAAAAATTTAGATTTTATTGGATGAAATTCAATCCAGGTGAATGTCTTTAGATAATCTCTGTGATCCTGGGAAATATATAATATAATATTTTTATAAAAAATTGAAAAGGGAGGGATATACATTCATTACTGACATTCGTAGTTTTTTTTTTTTTTAAATCTCCCCTTGTGGTTGCAGCAGTTCAGTGGAAATGACCTTGGTCCTAAAGAATAATACTCTTTGTCACTTGAAGGAACCTTTGA